AGATACTGGAAACATATTTTGCATTCGTCATACATGTGGGTGCAAATAAAATTTTGAAATCAAGAGAGGGTGTTTTTGCCTTGAAGAGGTTAAGGACCCCTTGTTTAGCGTGTAGCTATGAAACACAAAGTGTCCTGATATGTAGCAAAACGTTTTGTGCAAACAGGCTCACAACCATTTTGTTTCCCCTTTGTGGAAGCAAAGTAGCCTTCGACCTCCGGTAATAAAGATACTGGCAATTACGGAAAGAGATGCGAAAATTGATACAATATTGCGAAAATTTTTACAAATTTTAATATCACTGGTCAAAGATTAAAAATATACAATTTAAAATCAAAATATTTTTTGTTTTGTTTACTGATGTAGCAGACGACCCCACATAAACTTTTTGTGACCCCATTTTGGGTCGCAGCCCATGGCCTAGAACCGTAAACTCACACAACATTGTCTATCTTTAGGCCTTTATGTAGATACCCGTTAGTGGGTACAAACACATGTGCTCACATGCAGCTAACAGGTTATTAAGTAGCTGACAGCACCACACACCCTTTCTAATAGCCAGCAGTTTAGTGGTTGCACCACATGCCCTCACATGCAGCGAACAGTTTAGTAGATATCACGTGTTTAGGGAAGGCAGCCAAGAGAATGATTAACCAGAGGCTCTACTGGTACCTGGAGAGTACCGAGAGTCCCAGCCCAATACAAGCGGGCTTCCACAAAGGAATGCAGCCTGTGAACCAGGTGCTCCGTCTTCTCCAGTCCTTAACAGATGGGCTCCAGAAAAACTCGCATACGGTGGCTGTACTTTTTTATCTCAAACAAGCCAATGACCGAGTCTGGTCCGATCTATTGTTGAAATTGCAAAAGTTGGGAGTAACCGCAAATATGTATAGGTGTGTGACGATCTGAGGCTGGACTTTGTAAAATTTCTTCCATCGTAAACCCGCCCTAGGAAACCTTTGTAAAATAACTCCTTTCCCTCCCCTCAAGATGCCCCGCCGTCGCTCAGCACGAGTGAGTTCCCTTGTGATATTGCATTCCTGCATCAGTTCGCTCACCTCCCAAACATGCTATTTGCGGTCAACCCATCCCACCGAACAACCTTGAGGAAATAATACCATTCCACCCCCCCCCCTCATTTTTGCCCTGCAGACAGCAAGGCGGAGTATCGTCCCTTGCTGGACTTGCATTGTCTAGACAGAAAACTCACCCCAAAGCCTGAAAAAGGATGGTCACCTCAGAAATGCATTGTCTAGACAGAAAACTCACGCCAAAGCCTGAAAAAGGATGGTCACCTCAGTCCGATTAACCTTGAGGGTTGAAGGTCAAACCCGCAACAGCGAAAGTGATTTTCATTGGATGGAAAAATGACCCCTCATTTGAATCACCCAATTGAACCATCCGCTAATCCTCATTGAACTCGAATAAATAGACTGAACAAGCAAGATTCTGCCTTTTATGATCTGATCACTTGACGGTGAATGCTGGAAGGATCTGCACTCAGAACTTCATCAGCATGATACATAACTGCATCCTAGGATATTTGCAAGTACATGACTTTTAAGATCTGATCACTTGATTGTGGACGCTTGAAGTGACTAGACTTAGTACTTCACTGGCGTGATACTTAACTGCGACTGCTACCTAGAGTACTACCTGGTTTCTATTACTGGACCGACTTACCTTGAGCTGGAACTAGGGGATTGATCTACATCATACACCAAACTACCTGACAGTTATGACTTCGAGATCCAGGGACTCTCACCACCACGATTTATCGCGGGAGAGTCATCTTCCCCTCGCAGACATCCCAATGACTCTACGACCGGGAACTCCGAATTCGCTACGCTCAGAACAGCACCGAAGGCCGGAACAGGGACACGCTTCTTGAACAGAAGGACTCCCACACTGTGTGATCCACCGAGACAGTCACAGAAACTATAAAGGCTAAGTTTACCAGGATCGAGCATAGAACTTGAGCAATATAGCAGTAGTAATGATGATACCGTCTGTATGTTAGGGACACTTGCTTTGTGTTAATATACCTTTCTAATTGGATGAAATCCGTTTGATGTACATACATTAAGCACCACGAGTGTTTTACGTAGGAAGTTGTAAATATTATTGTGTAATAAATATTTGTAGTTAATTTCACCTTTAACTAAGACTTCGTTTCAGTCTATACTATATGTATATATATATATAGGTGTTATGTCCGTGTAGTTATTCGGCTTAAATAACATATCCCTAGACAGAGTGCCAAGAGGAGATCTCATACGAGAGATACTCCTCTCTAATAAGTCATAAGTCAGATCACCACAAGGTGGATCTCCGATTTTATCACAAACCGGACGATTAACACAAAATTCGATAGTGAAACCTCCACGAAAAGAACCCTTGAGGAAGGGCTCCCGCAAGGGTCAGCCCTCGGTTACACTATTTTCCTCACATACATCAATGACCTGCCACAAATTTTAGCAACCAGTAGTGCTATGTATGTCGACGACTTGGTTATCTGGAGTACCTGTAAGGATGTCCATCGCCTGCAAACGCTGTTACAGCAAGACCTTTCTGCTATCAACAGGTACATGCGACGGTGGCACCAGGAAATCAACACCGAGAAGACGGTCTATTCACTCCTTACCAACGGGTGGACCATTCTCAAACAGGAGATCGAGCTCAAGGTCGGTGATGTAGCGCTTATTGTGGACTTTATTTTTCACAGTGTCAATATTTATATTCTCTCGCTTCCTGTTTTCCCACTTCCGGGGACACGAATGAATACTGCTTGAGTTGTCTACTGTGCTCTTTTCTTTGTTATATTTTCATTTCTATTGTTGGCTGAGGAAGGCTTTATGCCGAAACGTCCTTGTTTTTTGTCCTGTTATCTTATTTCAAGCTTCCACATACCTCGTTTCGCTATTTCATTCAAACTTCCGTCAATCAATTTTCATTGAACGATATTTCTTTCGTACAATTTTCGTGATACGATGCCTTGCATTTTGAATCAACAAATAACTACTTACTCAACTAACTCAAGTGTTATTAAAATTGTTAAAACATTTATATTTAAAAAGAAGTTGTGGTATTTTAAATGCTTCAAATTTAAACAAGCGGCATGTGCTTAAGTATGTTAAGAAATGTCTTGCTAACAATACAACTGTTGATTTGATTGTCATTCATGAATATCAATGTTGTTTTTATCATTTTTCATGCTTCTTTATGCCTGCACTTATGAAGCTACTTTGATCTTCTTAGCTGCAACAGGTCTCAGGAAATCGTGTTAGGAAATGTTTTTTTAATTGAAAAATTTGACTAATATTAATTTATTTTTTTTAAATTGTAGTTTAAAAATATTTCCTGTTCCTTTTTTGTATTGAAGAAAATTTTTTAAACATATACATTGGTTAAAATCGTTACTCTGTTAGTGTATGTATATATATGACATACTTCAGTCTTCACCAGACGATGGAGTAACTCTTCCATACTTCAAAAAAGGCTAAAAGGTGACTGCATTGCTGAACTACTTGCAGTTAAACCCTTACTCCTTAAATTTGACAACACTTGCTTGACATCTTCAAACACTGCATTCGCGACCGTCCAATACGTCTTGTCTCTTTCAAAAAGCAGCTATTTTGAAAAAAGGCCTTCCCCGATTATTCTTACAAGGCCTGGCCAGACAAGGCGCCTCCTGGCACAAGTGCAAACGATGCCACATTCCAAAGCCACTTCGTTTGATGGATTGTCTTGCCATCCAATGCGCCAAATGCGAAGCAGATATCTTTAGTAGGAGCTGTTAAATATCCGCTTATGACTGGCATATGTCATATATATATATATAATATATACTAACACATTGTACTAACTGTGTACCAGTACACGACATCCAATACTCTGTAAGTTGATGACTGTAATTATGTTTCTTTTGTTCTGTAATTAATATTAATACTTATATAAATCGTATTAATTGTAATTAGTACTGGTTTGAGTGTCGTATTTTTGCTATTGTATTTCTTTAAGGTATCGTATTTTGTTAGACACTGTTTAGAACGAGCCAATAACTTAAACTAAGAGGTTAATTTCTCGCTTTAGAAGGCAATGCGTAACAATAATATATATCCATTTGTGTTTATATATAGGCCTATATATATANTATATATATATATATATCTTTTCGTACGTGCTAGGCATTGAAGATTTCAAAACTAGAATTATGTGGTTTTTTTTTAAAGAAACACCTTAATTTCTAGTGTTAGTGGGAAATGTTCTAGACATGCAAAGATTATTTTGTTTTTCACTTATGTTTTTAAAAGCCATAAGTAGGCAAGAAAGATGTATTATCAATTTGTATTACTATGTCTTAGCATTTTAAAGGTAAAGCTACAATTTAATATTTGGAAATATTTTGTATGTAGAGATCAAATGACGTCGATTGATATTAAATTACATTGTGTTCATATAAAGAAAATATAATGAGAAATGGTTCTTTCAAATGTCTCTTTATGTATTTTTGTTTAAAAAAAGTTGTGCAACCATTGTTAACTAAGTATGAAAAGGAAAGATTACTATGTCAAAAGTTAAATTCGCTTAGAAAGAGGATTGAGGAGATGGCTTTCTGCCCAATGTGGCATATTGCTTTTGGCTAGAGGTCGCTGGAGTGGCTTTCATAACAGACAATGTCCTGGGCACCACAATGCATAGTTCTTGGGCTAATAGATTTATTGCCCCCACGTGGAACATCAAAATGCTAACCATGCCCCCAGCCCTAAGAATTAAATTGTATGAGAGAAACAATTTTTTCTGAATGTGAATAATGCTCTTATCAATTACATCTTAAAAATAAGAGACTAAAATTTGAATAAAGTCGAGAATAATATTAATTTTAAAAAATGTAGAATGGTTGAAAAAAATGGTTAAACTAACTAGAAATGTTTTTTCTTGATTTGTGTACATTTATAAGTAGAAAATATTATTCTTACTCTTCTACATTCATTTATTGATTCAAATTTAACCCACAATCCATCATTAGCTTTAACCTGAATCTTGTTCAGATTAACTGGATACATCGTCTTGCTGCACGGTACGGGGGTCAGCTTCTGTAAGATTGCTGCCACAGCTATCTTCAGCTCCACCATACCGAGTCTCATTCCAATGCAGTTCCTAGGGCCTTGTCCGAAAGCAAGATGGGCGAATGGGTGCCGTGATGCTTTTTTTCTCGGGGGAAAACCGTTCAGGGTCAAACTTTGTCGGTTCTTGAAAGAGCTCAGGGTCGTTGTGGATGGCGTAGACAGGCACTAGAACCGCCATGCCTTTGGCATTGGGATACCTTGGACCTTGGTGTCCTGGACACGTTTCCTGGTAATGAAATTCCCCAGCGGAAACATCCTCATCGCCTCGTTGAGGCACATCTCGTGGTAACTCAGACCCTGGACGTTGTCGTAATTAGGGAAAGCGTTTTTACATTTGTCGTCGATCTCACCTTGAATTTTCTAACAACATTCTGGGTGGTTCGCCAGGAGGAAGAGAGTAAAGGAAAGAACTATAGCCCCAGTGTGGTAGCCAGCAAATATTAAGACGATATAGCCTGGGCCTGCGTATTTCAAATAAGTCAAACAGTTTATTATATAACATTTGAAAATAGAGGTTAGTACTAGAAAGAAGTTGAACATAAATTTGATGTCATGTCTTTTATTGTATATCCCGATAATTGACATTTAAAGATCAAATACATTGTTTTTGTTTTTGTTTTTTATTAATAAATTAATATGTCTATGCCCTTTTAGCATACTTGTTTGTGAATTGTTTCTAAGAAATGTGACCATCATATATAACAATTTGAAGCCTAGCTACCATCTTAAATTCAATATTATTTATAATGTTGATACATGCGATTTCGAATTCTTTCTCAACAAGTCTAAATCAGACTATTTATAAAAAAACAAATGTATATCTAAAGCTCTGCTGCAGTTTATGCTTTTAAAGATAATACTTGCTTATTTTTGTTTTAATTAAAATGCATTTATCAATTTTCAAAGTATTTTAACATATTGTGGAACTATTATTGAAGCCAAACTTAATAAGCTTACGTCGATTTCGGATCTCGTCAATTCATTTTCACCTCCACCATGTCCACCATCGATCGCAGCGTTCTCTACCTCCGCATTTATGACGAGATCTAGAAAGTCATTGATTTTTCCACTGGGACCTTCCCGTTTCCGGTACTCAATCGCCACGTCTACGACATTAGCAAAATACTCCATCGACTTCTGCAGCAGGACGTTCAGCCAAAATTTAGATAACACTTGGGCTAGCTCTGGTAAAAATACCGTCCAGGTGAATAATAATGGATTTGGATTGACATCCTTTTTGGCTTCAGTTGAAAATCTGTTTCCGGGATCTTTGAGAGTATTTACCTCCAAACCGAATCCTGTACTGGCGATGACATCAAGGGTAAAGCAGGCGCAGATGTCCCTTAGTTCCATATCTTCCCCTCTTTCCTGCTTGAGTTTTAAGTTGTCTAGCATGATCGTTGCGTTCCTCTCAATGTGCGACGACATCTTCCTGATCCTGCCTGAACTGAACGTGGGGCTGACCACGCCACGCACGTGCATCCAGTGGTCACCCTGTGAGTTCGGTAGGTTGTCACGGAATGGTGGCTCGGTGGTTTGGAAAAAGTATGTGGCGGTCTGTGAAGGAGTTGAAGTGCTTAACGAATATGTCTTTAACCATGTCCAGGTCTCTGATGACGAGAATGGGTGTTTTTGAGTCGTACCACCCATAAACCTAGAAATAGGACAACGCATTTTGTAACTATTTTAATGTGTTTTTTCAAAGCTACTTAAAAACGTTTTCACCATGTCTCAAAAAGAAGTTATTTTTTGAGGTTGTCATGTAGTGTGACTACAAGATGCCCACTTATTTGATAAAAGTAACTTTACAATGGATGGTTGTAGTAGAAGCCACACATGTTATTACTACTATGACTGCTTTGAAAGCTACAACTCATCGAAAACAACTGAGTAATTTTTAACTTTGCCTTGAATGACGTGACGCAGAGTTTAAATAATAATTGACAGTGTATCTAATATTACGAGATGGTTGAAAATCGCAGGCCTAAATTAACACTAAAAATTTTATATTTTTTCATAAATCATGAAGATACAAGTAAGTTAAAAATAATTTCAGTTTTTTTTTTTCTTTCAATAACACTTAACGACAAAATTTCTTATACATTGTTCGTTTTCAAATTCATTCGTTTAAATAATGACACCCTCAACAATCTTAGAATGATGCAGATGAATCACTTCCTAACAAAAACTCTGTCAAATAAAAATCATCATCGGACCACATGTCTCTTTAAACATTCCCTTCTTCAAATCCATGAATAAATGCAACTATGAAAGTAATAGACCTATTACTAAGATTATAAATATCATCATGGAATGATTTATGATTTAATGTGCATCGCAATGCTACTGCTTTAATGTGCATCTCTGTACTACTGATGTAACATGAGGCATTATGCTACTGATTCAGTGTGAATAACAGTGTTACTGAATGTATGTGCATCACTGTGGTACTGATTTAATATATATCACTTTGCTACTGATTTTATGTGCATCACTGTGCTACTGATTTAAGGTGCATTTCAGTGCTACTTATTTAGTGTGCGTCGCTGCATTATTGAATTAATGTGCATGACTAGTGATTTAATGTGCATCACTGTGCTACTGATTTAATATATGTCACTATGCTACTGATTTTATGTGCATCACTGTGTTATTGATTTAATGTGCATCACTATGCTACTGAAAAAATGTGCATTACTGTGATACTGATTTATTATATGTCACTATATTACTGAATTTATGTGCATCAATGCGCTACTGATTTAATGTGCATCCCCATTTTACTGATTTAATGTACATCACAATGCTACAGATTTAGTGTGCATCACTGTGCTGTTGATTAAATGTGCATCACTGTGCTACTGATTTGTAAATGCAAAATGCTTGAAACTAAACCAGAAGATGACATCCTTGAAAATCTTTTGCAGTTTTAAATTTCTCCTGCTTACCTTCTTGCCTTTGAACTGATTGTAGAAGACTCTCTGTACTTCAAACACACCATACTTGTCCAAAGTTTCCAAGAATCCAAGATGTTGGTGGTGTGTCGATGCCCATTTTCTTGAAGGTGTCATGGTTGGCAGACATAAACCTAACTGTCAAAATCACTGACAGCACCAGGATGATGGCGAGAATAATAAGTGTCAAAAACATGTCCCCAGGTTGTGATAACAATGTAAACGGCTGAAAACTAGAACAGTTCTAAAAACATTAACAGCAACTTTAGCAACAAGAAAAATGCAGTAGCAGCAAGCAAATGTAATTTTGAAAAAGCAACCAATTAAAAAGAATTCGATCCAGACAATTTCAGCTTTTTTGGGTGTATGTTATTATTCTTTGACAATAGCATCTGAATTATTTTTTTTTAAAATTAGAGCAATAATTTTTAAAACATAAACGATCATTTGACACGCCCATCAGCTATTACGTTCAATACGGTTATAGAGAATAAAATCGTTCAATATATATATTATTAAATTTTAATTAAAACGTCAGCGGGCCGTCGAGCTTGCACTCTTTCTGCCCTCCCAAAAACTCCCCTCCTCAACCCGGTATCGGGCCGCGGAGCGGCACGTCCGGGATTTCTCTTTGTCAGGACAGCCCACACGCGAGTCCGCTCGACCGGGTTCCGCTGGAGGTCGCCCCAAACACAAAGACACCCGGTCGGTCCGACACTGTGTTTGCACACAGTGCACACGATCGACTTTCTAACGAGTCAGGATGGAAAAATGTACGTCCTAAAATCTTCCCCACCCATCCCGGGGTAGCGTTGGACGCCCTATAAAAGGGATTCTACAGTGGGTTTCTCCACGCAACTAATTTGCGAAGTAACTGGGACCTTGGAACAGCTTCTCAAGGCTGCATGGTAAGAATCATCGGCCAGAGGTTACCACCTTCGCCTCTCGCCTCATATCCATTAACGGCAACTTGTAATCATGAGCCCTACCCTGTCTCTGCCCTTTCTTCAAATTGTGAAGGGTCACAACTGGCAGCCCTGTAGGTGCTGTTTTATTTACGGCAGGTACCGAGCACATCCCTTGTCTGCCCACGCAGGACGCGCCCAGTAGTTGTGTTCCCCGGTTAACGTCGAGGGGTTCGGTGGCCGACGCCTCATAACTAACACACATATTCTGGTGAAGGTCTGAGATTGCTCTCTTATGACCCCGGCCAGTAAATTGGCTATCAATCTGTTGAGCTGAGGTACACAACATTTTCCTCATAAAGGGTCCTCCAACCGCACTGGCTTCCACCGGGAGATCTAGTGAGGGACATTAGGTCAACAGGTGCTCTAGAGTCTCCGGGTCCAGGCTGCAGTGCTGGCAGGTAGGATCCCTTTTGTTGTCAAGCCGACGCCTAATAAATCGTTCAATAAAAAGTATTTTCATATTTACTCACATTGCATGAACGGCATTAAAATACGTATTAATATCACTCTGATAAATAATCTCTTTAGAAGAAAAAAAACCCCATCAAATTAAAACTATTACTCAACGATATCTACTCCTTCTCTCAAAATCTAGGAGGAGGTCTTTAATAGCTAACTTTACCTATTCTAATCAAACAAAATTATTTAAACATTTTTAGTAAGCATATTTTAATTCTACTGTTGAATCAGTGTAAAGAACAAAAACAAATGTATTTTTCTTTTAAAATAATTTTTTTTCCTCCCCTGTCAGCTTGTGAAAATGATGATCAGAAGTGATTAATTGTATATTATCATATAATTTGTTTTTTAACAACATAACTGTGCAATGTCTCTAAGACGGTTCTCACACTGGACTAAAATAAACATGGATTTCGTCAAACTTCCGAATGGCTCAAATGATTGAATGGTGTCCATGTTTTTTCCAAGTAAACACAACAATGGTTTGTCTAACTAAACACACCTACGATTCCTGTAACTAAACATACAAAGTGGTTTGCAGTGCATTCTTTGTTAGTGCACTTATTTTAATATTCATGATATTACTTAATTTTTTTTACACATTAAATATCTCCTACATTAAAATAAAATTAAAAAAAAAAAAAAAAACTTTGTAAAAAAAAAAAAAAAAAAAAAAAAAAAAAAAAAATAAGAAGTATGCGTGTCTTAATTATAGTTAAGAACAACATTATCGTAAATAATAAGATACATTACTAAATATATAAGGGCCGAACACGTATTGTTGTAATGGTGTAGTGATGAGTCACCCCTTCCTCAACACATCCACCCCCCCCCCTTCCTTTAAAAAAAATCAAACTTATTTGTCCATTTTGTTGTAGATGCGGTTACAAAAATACGTTGTTACTTAGTTCCATAATACTGTGAAATATTATATCCCACATTTGCATTGCAAAAAAAAAAAAAAAGTAGACTTTAGAACGAGGCTGTGTTTGCACTTGAATACAAGGCCGTGGTTCTCTACGTGTTGACCCTGTGGCTGTATTCACCAAATTAAAATTAGAGTTATTGAATTAAAGTAAAGTTATTTTCATAGTTCAAAATAGGTGGGGTTCCGGGTGTCTGGAGACACACCTTCCCCCCATTAAATTACTTAACTTACTCTCTAGACATAAGAATCAATTTCAAATCAAATTTAAATAAAAAAAAAGCCTATAAAAACATCGCAGTATTAGCAATAGAACGAATGTTTCCAAACAGGAATAGTTTGTCTTGTGACACCTGAAGCTCACCATGTGGTGTAAGGAAGAGATGTACATGGTGTCGTCCACCCTGGCCGGCTCTTTTTTTTGTCTTTGTATTGAGGACTGGCATTTCATCCCATCTGTTAAGCTTATTCGTCGAAGGCGGCGGCACATTTTTAGCCTGCCCCATCTGGCAACAACACTAGCTACGCCACTGAGCCCACCGTAGTTGTCCAAGCGTGTGATGGCATTTGTCATATAATTATTTCGCTTAGCTGGAAAAAAAAAGGTAAAAAAAAAATGCGTTGGGGAGAGAGATACCGAGAAAAAAAATGTAACTTGTTTTTTTCCACTGTTTTCAAAGTGTTTTTACCCAACGCAACGAAGTAGTTAGTAAAAAGTTTCCACCCCCCCCCTCTTCCATCCCCCCCCCTCTTTTTTTTCCCAAAAAAAATTTTTTACACAAAAAAAAAAACAAAACAAAAAAAAAAACAAGACAAAAAAAAAAAAAAGAAAGTAATAATTTAAAAAAATTCAATTAAATTTTTTCTGAAGTTTTATGAGAAAAAAAACCATATCATACGGGTTAGTCTTAGTGTTTTGTATAAAGGACTAAATGACAATGCAAAAAAGGTGTCCTGATTTAACATAGTACATCCCTCCCCCCCAGACCATGAAACTTAAATACAAGTTTCTATAGCCCCAAAAGACTATCCCCCCGCCCTATTCAAAAATTAAAAGAAATTTATAAAAATATTAAACTTTTAGAGTAACTTGTTTACTGTTACCTCGTATTTCTAGTAAGCCATAATGGTGAGTAGAGTGTAGGAGTTAATTTGTTTACATTTTTAGGGGGATTGGTTTGAATTCTCATGTGTACGTGTGCAATGTCTGTGTCCAAATTTGTACGGGTACAACAAGGGGCGGTTGGATTAAAATATCATTGTTTGCCTAATTAATATTAATATAGATGGGAAATAATCGAAAACGTTAAAGAAGAAATTACATTTCCCTCATTGTTCTTTCATTTTG